AGATTATAGGCTGAAGCTTTGATGTCTGATATTCAATTTTGGTATGTTGCCATTTTATTTATCTGATAAACATCTTTATTGTTGTCTGTATTTATTAATGTAATTAGGAAAATGTGGCCAAAGTTGTAACATTTTATTCTATATCGATCTGTTCTCTCTTATGGAGATATTGTTACCGTAATCAAATTAATTTTCTCGCCATTTTGTAAGAATTTTTTTTCTTTTTGCCAAACATTTTATCGAATAAAAACATTATTTTATGTTTTATTTTAATTAAATTTATATCCTTTAAATACATATAAAACTTTACGTATGCAATAGAAAAACACTATGTTATTCCTTTAAATTTTTTACACTGAGGTGGTTTCATTTATACTGTATAAGTTTTTTATTGTTATTTTTATAGTTACATGTTAAAAAAAAACTATTATATACAATACAATAAAACTTTTGTTTCTCTTATACTGAATTTACATTTAATTAATTAAAAACTTCAAATTTTCGTACATTTGAAACTACAGATCTATAGAATATGGGATCCGACTTTAACGTTGCTACCATTAAAACCATTAACATGTAAAACATGTACGGATATGACTTTGATCAAATTTATTAATGATGTACTGATAGGACCGAATTTATATTCATTAGTTCAAGCTATAATAAATAATATGCCCTTTTCTTTTCACAAAATATTAATAACTTTAAAAGTGTGAAGCCATAAGCTATAGTTTCCTTAAGCTTATGTTTAAATTTGGTCCTGTATAGTGATGGTGGTTTGCATACATCAAATATACCGATTGAGCACATGTTAATATTATAAATTAAAAAGAATGCTTAAAATTTTTGAATTTACTAAATTTTTTAATGGAAGAGAAAAATTCATTTAACAATGATTCAAAGAAAGCTAAACTAGAAATGAGATCGAAATTATCAATAATTAAAATTATTTATAATTCATGTTTATGATTTGAGCCACAGTAAGATAGAATTTACAATTTTGCAATATACTGTATTTAGTAAAACAGAAAATCCATTGCTGATCATTAAAGTCGAAAATTGATAGATCTAAATGGAGTGGGACATAGCTGTGCCACGAATCTAGATTTATTGCGGAATTATATTTTATAAATTTAATTCTACAATAAAAATAAAAATATAAACGACCCATCCTCCACCCAGAATAAAGCTATTTAAGTGATGTAGTACTTGAAATTATTAATTTAAACCTGTACTGTATTTACCTTATAACGTCTCAATTTGTATACAGAATGCTAGAAATGTTATCTTGAGGAATCGTGACATGAACAAGTTTGCACACGTTTCATCATTAATCTTTTACTAGCTATAACTTATTTTATTCTATAATCGCTATTTTGCGTTGTTATCCACTTTCTTCTTCAGAAACTATTTTCTGATGGAATTGCATGTTATAAGTTCGTTTCTAGATGAATTATATCTATAGAATTTAAATTGTTTTATTTTATACATGATTTAATTAATTAATGAAAGGTACTAAAATTTATTTTTTCTGTAATTCTGTTTTATTCTTTTATGCCAAACTAAATTCAATTCAGTTTTAAGAAAAAATTGAAAATTATGTAGAAATCAATAAAAAAAAATCATACAGAATTGACGACTCTATTATTATAATCACCGGTATTTATAATAAAACACAAACCATTTAAATAAATTTATGCAATTTTACGTAAATTTATAATAGTTAATATCTGTAATAGTATATTTTTTACATACTTTTCCATATATTATTTCAATAATATATGCAGCACCTGGAAAAAGGTGAATGAGAGTCATGCGAGTAACAGATATGGAACTACACCCTCTTCGAAACCATAAAACTATATGAATAAAATCAACCAAATCAAAACAACTTTTTCACTTTCATAACGCTTTTTTAAATATAATGTTTATTTTTTAAGGTCCCGAAATGTGCTGAACAAGAACCAAAATAGCCATGCTGACCTTTCTATTTGAATACATGCCATTAATATAATAAAAATATACATTCAAAATTTGAACTGTTAAACATAAAATTAAATGAAAATAAAAATAAAAACTATTAATTCGCAAAAGAAAATAAGAAAAATTGAAGTATAAAACCTTATTAAAGAATATGACAAAAAGTAAATATTTAATATTTATTTTTTCTGTATTGTTTCTTTCATTAATCCGTGAAATTTTTAGTTAATAAAAATATTACCTTGAAACTTAAATTAGAGTTCTTATGTAAATATAATAATCAAATTCTAAAATATTTAGATTTTCTAAAGAAAATTAAATTTCGATTTTGTATTTTATAAATTAGTTTTACTTCTCAAAAATTCTATTTAACATTTAACTTTATATTAATCGGATGAAAAAGTAATATATTTTTTTAACATTTGTAATCGTAAATATTATCCAACGTAATATTTCTCCCGTAGCATTACTTTCACTCTAGCGATAATTACGGAAGATTTATTATTTTTTTTATAAACTTATACATAATTCTTTTTTGCTTTCTACCATTGGATTATACTCATATAAAATTGAGAAGGTTATTTAATTCAATGAAAGCTATTAGGTTAAAACTCTATGAAAGATTTAGAAGCACTAAATTCATGAAATAAACGTTTATTTTTTAGAAATTGGTATCATACATTGTTTATAATACGCTTAACTATAAATATCTACAGTAGATAAGAGTATTGTCTTCTTAAAATCTTTCCGGCTTTTGGGCATTAAGAAGGATTAAAGCATTAGGATTCATATTATGGCTTTATTATGAATTCGGCTAGAATCGTAGCAGGTTTGGTGAAAGATTGGGCATAACATATCTATGCCAGATCTATTTTTCCACGAAAATATCTGGAGACTCAATTCAAAATCTAATACAGATCCCTCAAAACTGTTTCTGTTAATCTGCAGTTAAATAAAGCTATTTTATTAAGAATTAAATCATAATAGTTATACATATTTTCTACTGAAAGACAGAAGTTGATTAATAAGATTTGCTTGTATCTTTTATTACATCAAACTCTCTCATTATAGTTATGCCGCAGAATATATACTAAATTTGACAAATAATAGCTGCATAACATATATTGATATGATTTATTTTCTTAATCATTTTATCCATGTTTTTATATATTCCTACTAAATGTCACTATTATAAGTTAACTAAAAGTAATAATCGTAATATTTAACTGAATTAAAATTATAATTGATCAAAATCTTTTAATTTAATTGTTCTCTTGATTAAAGTTTTCACAACATTTACATACATTTGATGATGATGATGATGATAAATAGTTTGTATCTAAAATTTTAACAAAGTATAAAAATCAAAACTAAGAGTATTTTCTTTTTAAAATCTTTTCACTTTGTAAGTATTAAGTAGATTTATGGCATTAAGATTCATGTCTTATCATTAAAATCAAATTTATGTTACAAGCTTGTTATATATAAAAATTTTACATAAATTTATTGCATTTTATTACTTTAACTTTCTTAAATTGTAAATAAAATTTAGTTAAAGTTTTACCATGCAAATTATTAATAAAGACTAATTAAAATATGAATAAATCTATAAAAATAAAAAAATTTTACAATAATATGAAACTTTATAAGCGCTAAAATAATTCTATTTAATCAAAAACATTTTTCTTTGCATCAATCAAATTCATTCAGTAATATTTATGCATATTTAAAAATGAATAAAAATCTTTCAGAAAATTATATGGTCATCTAATTGACATTAATAGATCATGTAATTTACTGAAAAATTCTTTAACAGTAATTAAAATTAATTTAATTTATTTACTTTTATATATCTACTGTACATATAAAAGTCATTACAAATATTCATAACCAATAAAATATTTTAATATTTACTGTTAAAATCAAAATAATTTTAAAAATTATTATAAATTATATGCAGTATTAAACTGATTAATGTGAAAAAATATATTGTATTATTACTAAATTAGACCATTTCTAAAAATAATCTATATAAATTATAAATGATAAATATATTCGTAAATTTATTCATAATCCAACATTTTAATTCCTTAAATCTAAATACATATTTAAAATACTTTTAGAATTAATCTATAATGAAAGATTTTTGAAAAGCTTCCCTCAACTATTAGATTGTGATCTACTAGAAATATTCTCATGTAAATTTATACATTTATAGCAAATTTTAAAAAAATTTATGATGGAATCTACTGATTATTAAACTATTTGAACAATATAAATATATAAACATTTAAAATTTATTAAATATTAATAAAAACATCCCTAAAACGATATTAATAGTATCATAATGAAAATCATTTATAACATCCTTCATTCAAATGAACAAAAATTTATTAAAGCATACTATTTTAATTATTTTGTTGTACTAAATTTAAAGTAAGATATATAAGTATGTGCTTGGTTCAATACTCTTTCTGAAGTTCAAAAACTTTTGTTTTCCATTCTGTATAAGAAGTAAAGGTAAATCCATCATCTGGATCATCTCAGCGGCATCAACATTCATCTAGAAATGTTTTTGAAAAACTTTTAAATATTTAGGGAAAATATAGGCAATATAAGCAAAGTATAAAAATAACTCTTTCAAGACTAGAAATGGAGTAAAGGAGGGGGAAGCTGAAAAAAACTGTTATTGTACTTTTCTACCTAATAAAAGTGATAAATATACAGTCAGAATGAAATATATATATCTTTACGCTACAATAAAATAAGCAGAACCAAGAGAAATAAGAAATATGAATCCTCAATATGCAGTTTTTTTAATAGTATATTTCACATCAACTTTGTTTAATCCTAACATCAAATATTACTTCTAGAATTATATTCAAAATCATAGAAAAGAAAGTTATATCAACATAAGACTGTAATATTTTAAACTGAAAAGTATAGAAATAATAAATAAGCTTATATGTTAAAAAATAAGTTCTTAAGAAAATATTTTTTAGCATTGAAAATTATCATACCTGAAAACTGTAGGGTTCTCCTGGTTCCAAATTAACAAATACATACATATGATTATTTCTTCCAATTTGTGTTACATTCAATGTTCCATTTGTAAAAATTTGTCCACTTTTTGTTAATTTAACTTCATAATTTATGATATTTGCACCATTATCATGAGTTGGTCTTCGCCATCCAAACAATAAAGTTTCATTTGTTGAAGCCAACACATGTACCCAAGACACCTTTGGAGGAACTGAATGAAACAAATACAATTTAATAAAACTTTTTAATGCATTTGCTTTTATTTTTAAATGCAATATTTTTAAGTGCATAATTTTAAAAATTAGATTATGACTTTACATGAATTAATTCAAAATAAAAACTATTATTTACAAGAATAGAGCCTATATCACAGTAGCTAACACTACAATTCATTAAATTTAATGTTATTTTAATACATTAATGAAAAACAGTTTTTTCCCATTAATACTGTATATTAAAATAATGTTTAAACATAGTTTAGTTTTTAAGTATTAATGATCCAAAGGTATATTACTTTTGTTCAGTTTTTCTGAAATAAATTTTGAATTAATTAAAATATTAATTTTATTTAATTTATGTACAAAATATCTGGGCATAAATCACTGTGAAATATAGAAAAAATATATGCTTTAATGAAGTATAAAATAATGTATATATTTTTTTCTATTTTTGGAGTCACAAATATCTTATTAACTAAGATTGTAAACTAGTTATGATATAGTAAATAAGATTTGAGAAATTATTTTATTTTTACAAAATAAATCAATTTTCTGTAATACTTTTCTATTTACTTTATAACTAAATTATTATTAGATATACTAGAATCAAATAAAACATAGCATTGACATAAACATAGATTATCTTATAAAGACTAGATACAAGCTCTCAATTATTCAACAACTATATGTATAAGTTATAATAATTGGGTTTGTAAAATAGATGACCATGAGAATGATTTAAGAACATCATTGAAGCTTATAGAAAGTAATGTAAATAATGTGGGAAAGAAATAATATTTTTATCTTATANTAATAGTGTAGAGGAGAAAAAAGAAGCGATTAATATGAAAAGTATAAATTACCGTCGGCAGGCATGGTGACATTCATAACTTCCCATTTGCTGGATCCGAGATCGTTAACGGCTGCCAGTTGGAAGCCATAAGTCATGGCTGGTGCCAAGTACCTGACTGTATAGTTAGTTGCGTTCGGAGGGATCTTGTCATCGACATCCAACCAATCAACACCGGTACTAAAGTTCTTCACTTGGAGATGAAAATGTTTGACTGGTGAATTGGTTCGATAGCGTAGGTGCCATTTCAGGAGTGCCGTTCTTGAATCCAGCGGCTGTACCGAATCCACCGTAACTTCGGGACGTTCTGTGAGGAATAATTGTTAAAATTTAGATTCTTACACTTACATAAAATACAAAGCCTATTATTTTCAATTTAAGTATAAATTAAACGAAATTTTATTTATATCATGGTTCTTTCACAAAAATTCTCGTTTTTAATCGTATTCGAACGTAAATAGCTATTTTAAGGCCTTCACTACAACTTTTAAATTGAATAAAATATGCTGAATCATGTAAAATTTAATTTTTAAGTATACTTTTCTGTTTATATTAGAAAACACGTCTTTAAATTACTTTATGCTGTACATACTTGTGCACAAACCAACCCACCTAATGCTTAAACGTAATTTCAATGTTATACAAAGACAAATCAAAATTTTATATAATCTCTTAGTTTAACCAAGAAAAAATTTTAGCACGTGAAGGAAGATTTAGTCTATAAAATCTTGTTAAAAATTTCAAATGTTCACGTCAAATAGTTTACGAGATATTCATCAAACAAATACGGACATCCGGACGAACGAAGTGCTAACATTATCCTTTTTTTTTAATCACTAAAAAGTGTGAAGAGATATATAAAGATTTTGATGAATGGGTGTTTTGAGAGCAACGAATGTGATTCCGGATATAAAGATTACTCTGTCACCTTTCCCTAAATTAGTCGTTGGAAGTCGTTGAAGATTAATCTGTCCTGGGACTGTGATATTTCTTTTACAAGTATTAAGAAGAAGAAAAGACTATTGGAAACAAACCTGGCGAGATAAGTAGGATCTGAGTAAATCCTCATTCACTCCTATTTCTAAAACTCATCAAAACTATTGTTTAATTTCTTTTATAAAGCAAATCCTGTATAAAACCCGTTGCATATAAACAAATTCTAGAAAAAGCGTTATTCAAAGTTTAATTAAAAATTGCGAAAGAGTGGGAGGAGGTTGGATAACAGAAATTCTTATTTTCTTTTCAAGCAAAGATGAAAATCGTTTTTCTATAAAACTTTTCTTCAATTAAACTAAACGTTTACCGTTGTGTCAGGAGGAGATAAAGAACAAAGTAAAGTATATTATCTTTGCATTGTGCATAGGAGTAGATGATAAGAGATTCCTATCTAAAATCAACGTTTAGAAAAAAAAAGTTTATATAAAAAAAACAAAAAACAATTCCTTTAGTTACAATGACAAACGTTTTCCCAATTTAATGTCGATCGAGAGAAGCAAAAATTTGCATTTGAAGTCTACGCTCTAATTCTTTCTTAATGAAGCTCCTCAAGATTCTAAGTGAAACAACTCCCAAACGAATAGGAAATAAAAGGTATTCCTCTATAAACATTACACAAAATTTAAATGACTCGTTTATAAACAGAAGTCATGAGACTCAAGCTTTGTTTTCACTAAATTAGAATATAAATTATTTAAATTAGTAGTAAAAATAATTTGAAAGTAATTACCTCAATGCTAAATATATGTGTAAAACTATATTCATGTGTTTTTTTAACTCTACAAACATTATACATTTTAAGCTTTAAATTAAATTTTTTAAAAAATTAATCAAAACATCGAAACAAATTTTACCTTAGAAACCTTAGTGTAAATCTTAGAATAAACTTTAAAAAGTATAAGTGATGTCGAAATGATTACATTAATACTATTAAAATTAATTGTACAAAATAGAGTAAGGATAATTAAATCAATTCGTGTTTACTTTTAACAGTCGTTAGTCTTGGAAAAGGATTCGATTTCCAAAGTCCCAAGAGAAGAAAGACGAAAGATAAGAATTAGACGTTGTTGAACAAAGATTTTCTTTTCCTCTTTTCAATTTTACTGTTCTGACTTACTACATTAGATTTTCTTGGCTTATATTAATTAATGTAACAGTGAAATAGTTCAATTTTGTTAAGAATTCAAAATTATTCTTGATTTTCTTACAAATTATTTGCAATTTTATACTTATATTATTAGAAAATTTCTCATAAAAATCAGCAAATTTATATATAAGATAAATAAGCTATAGTTTAGGGCCTTGTGCTTTTAAATTTATTACTACTTGCTAATGATGCATCTTATACAACTTAGAGCAAGAAGTCTAAATGCAGCCCTAATTATAATTTTTTAAATGGTTAGCATAACCAAAACTGATAATTTGTCTTACAGTATTAGATAAATTTAAACAGACAGACAAACTAACAAATAAGCAAAGTGAATGCAAAATCTCAAATTTTTAACTCAAATTATTTCTGAATTTTCGAAAAATTCTATAAATAAAATGATGGGGTTTAAAAAACCTAAAAGCCATTTTTACTTTAATAAACCTCTAAAAACTTACACTTTATAAATATAATTACAATAAAATCGATGTTTGTTAAACAAGAAAATTTCGAAAAGTAAGTTTTGTTACATTTATCATTCGCTTTGCTATTGGAAAAACATAAGAAGACATATCTCCTATTCGTAAAAGAATAAACATTAGTCCAAACTATAGGAAAAGAAAAGGATTCTCTAAAAATTTTGACAGGAATGTACGATGAAAAATGTAGAACTATATTTGATACGATTATAGCTATCTCAAAGTTCAGACATTAAAGAAAAAAAGTGGTGACAGAGATTATAGAAAGAGCAGAGGCAGCAAGATGGAAGATAATGCGATTTATACGGAAGAGCGTATTGAATGAAACTGCTTTATCATTATTATCCAACTATTACATCAATAATAAGATACGTAATCAAATTTTAAAACAGTAATGTTTTAAAAGACTATCGATCGATTTTGTTACACTTAGTACAACTATTTCGTACTGATTTATTAGGTGAGGGATTTCTTGAAGAAGATTGCCAATTTCAGCAAATTCACTACATTCAGCAAGAAATTCATTTTATCTTTGTAATTTTTATGATTGTATCTTTTACAGACAAGCTACAGATTATAAATCAGCTAGGTTTTTCTTAGATCTTATCGATAAGCCCTTTGCTTATTGCAACATTCTACAGATTAACTTAACTATAATTTTTAGTGATTCTTTATTGTCTTGAACGAATTTATCACCGTTCAAATCAAGAATTTAAGATAGAAACAGCCGAGCAAAATCCATTAGCATTGCTGAAATTGCTTATTTTTCATTGTTTTGAATAATAAGCAAAAATTAAAAGTAATAAGACATGTTTCCGGCATTAACGATGAACAATCCTTTCTCCTCAAGTCTTTAAACTCGAGGCAGACAAATTCGATGTATAAAATTTATTATAGATCTGTAATATAAATCTACTTAAATTAAATCTTTTAGAATTTGTTTCAATAGAATTTAAAACAAAAAAACAGAGAAACTTCAACCGAAGAGATTTACCCATAAAAATTCAAGCTAATGTACACAGTTCATCTTAGTGAACTGCAGGAGTTCTTAGCGATCAATAAGAATCATCGTTTGGTTCTCGTTGGGTCAAAGGGAACATCCGCGACATCCAACTGTCTGTCCTCCTTTCATTACATTTACTGAAGACAGGATGAACCCAATGGAGGGTGATTTATGAAGTTTCAACGTTCAAGTCATGGAAGCCACAATTACCTTCCTTTCAGAACGATAGTCGTTGGAGCAAAAAGAGGTGAAAAAATCAAAGGTGTCTTTATACATTGTATTGAACTATAGTGTTTAGGGAGTTACTGCCGAACATACTTTCATAAAGAATTTAGTTTTGAAAAAAATTTTAACAGTTTTTTCCCTGGGTTTAAAAATTGCTTAAATTTCTATATGTATATATTTATATATAACGTTATTTCAGATCGCTGAACCAGATAAAAAATTTCCTATTAAATTCAAGTAAAACTATAAAATTTCGAAATGTGTGAATAAAAAAGAAATGATCACAACAGTGATAATTCATAAAAAGGGCGAAGAAAATATTTCAGTATTAGGCTACAACTTTGATTTTATATATTTCATTTTTTTTTTTTTTGTAAGAAAATAAATGTGAATCGAGTGCATTAAGAGTTAAATCTACCGTAGGACATAAAAACAGATGGAATTGATGTTACCTACTTGTAATGAGATTTGGATATACTAACCGTTCATAAATCTAATTCTACTGTTTCATTTGCAGGCTCTTCCCAAGAGGAATTATGATGTGTTTCGATACTTAAAGAGAATATAGTAGTAGAAGCTCATATAAAGAATATCTATAGACAAATTTGAAGCAATGAAATATTTTTTCTTTGTGGGCTCTATTTTTATATATAAAAGCTAAAATATTTTCACAAGTTTATTCTGAAGATTTTACGTTGATGAAAAAGTAAAAAAAAAAAACAATAAAAGTTTTAAAAATGTCTTTATAAACCAAAATGGCTCTTAAAAAAGCTACTTTCTGACATCAATCCTTCATCTTAACAACGCTAATCCAGTATTCTATGCAAACCGCTATGGATAAAACATGTAAAATATGTTAAATTTTTAAAAAATGTAATAAAATAAAAATGTAACTTTGGTGAGAGGTAAGGAGTCTCTATAATCCACTAAAGAATAAGATAAAAATTTACATCATTCAAAATCAAGAATATTAACATTAAATTTGTGAAAATATCAATAATTTTTTTTTTGTAATTGAAATAAAATATGCCTAAAATTTAAGATAAGCTTACAAATATATTAGAAGTGTATAAAAATTACAATTAAATAAATTTCTCTTCAAAAATAAACACATTTTAATCATTTCCCTGCCTGCAACCTTCGTACATTAACCTTATACATAAAATATGCTAACGTTTCACGTACAGTAAACATCTAAAAATAGCTTTTTTTTTTTAATTTCAAAATTAAATTTAAAATAATATTTGAAAGTAGAAATTTATAATGGAATGAATAAAAAAAATGCATTTATTTTAGTTTATTATCCTTAATAAAACCATAAAATATGTTGGCATAATGACAAAAAGTCTCCTTTTTAATATTATATTGTATCTATTTATAAAGTTTTGAATGAAGAAAAAATTTTGTTAAATATATAGAAAATGATCATCTACTTATTTTTAAAGAAATATCTAACACGATCAATTCTGAACTGAACTGGAAAAGATAGATTTAATAATAAATTAACTCCAGGCACAGATAGAGGATAACAAAGCAGTATCATTTGGCCAAAGCCTTACACATACAGTGGCCCTAAACTTAATTTTTATATGAAAAATAGGATAAAGGAAGTAATAAATTAGTTTTTTTTTTATAAATTTATTTATATTTATTTTATTGATTTTTATTCGTGTAATCTTATTGCTTTCGGAAAGAGGGAGATCAGCATTTGTGACTAGATCTAGTACTTCTTACAGGCCTTAATTAATTCCGAGTTTATGCCTTTAAAAATATACTTTTTTTAATATGTTTTAAGATTGGGCATCTTATTTTCCTAAAATCAAAATTTTAAATAAATAAATCTTATCAATATAATAATCAACGTGCTCGTAAAATGACCTGAAATTTTAAATGTAGTTAGGAAGGAGTTAATAAATAAATTTTTATATAATAAATTTCGTAAATATTTGTACATTTTTCAAAATTAAAATAATTTTTAATCAAAAATTAATTAAATTCCGATTTTAAAAAAGAATTTTTATTAAATAACCATAATTATCCATGTTAAAATTCGTAACATATAATTAAAAAATTATAAATAAAAAAATACAGGAAGATGTGACTACAGTAATAATATTAAAATATACTGTATATATATAATAATCTGCTAATAATAGAAAAAGTTTTCTAAAAATTCTTTAAAATTATAAAAGCCAGTCATAATTTATATAATATAAATTCAGTTTTGGAGAGTATCTCAAGAAAAAATTTATGAGAAAGTGATAAATTCCCGCTAATTTATAATGAAGAATTTGATTAAATTACAAATAAAAAATAAAGTAATTAATGTGAGAAAATGTTCATTGCCAATCATTTAATTTCAGAACATTTAACAACTTTAACATAAAATCCTTTAGGGCAATTTATAACAGTAAAAATATAAAGACATCACTTTAACACTAAACTGTTAAATCAACCATACAAGAAAATCAACAAAATAAATCATAATAATCTGAACAAAGCATTTTCAGAAATTATTATACAAGCAGTAACATTCCAGTTTAGTATCAATAATTTATGTTTTCTCATGTTGTAAGCTCCTGTGACATATTAAAGCAACTAATAATTGTCACACTCTTCTTCCCCTCTCTTTGCTCCAACTGTAATCATCACACCCTCTTTTCTTTCCTCCCTTTTGCATTAATTATAATTTCGTGACGTCATAATATAATTTGTAATAAAAATATACAAAATTGTTTTATAAAAATAAAATTAAATTTTTCAAAGAATTTTATAAAAGAGAAAGTATAAAATTAATTATCACACGAGGTTACTTTTAATTTGCAAGTAGAGAGTTTGGTTAATTATTGATCTGTTTATCCTTTGTCGTTGTTTGCAATAAATAAATTTTGGGTATTCAGACGTTTAATTTATTAGACTAATTGAAGATATCGCTACTAAGAGTTTATTTTTGTTACAAGAGATGACAATTATGCTGCTGGATGTTTAATTTAGAACATAAATAAAAGAGTAAGTTTTAAACTGAACTGCCTAGGATGCATGTATTTTAAACGGGGTTTTCGTTGTCTCGCAGCTGGAAGATGGAATAAATGAATAAAAAAAAAATGAAAGAAGAAGAAGAAAAGACTGTCTTAAGAACGTATAGAACGTTAAAAAATATTGCAGTTTTAGTAAAAGAGCACATTTGTGCATTTTTATGCACTTTATAATGAAAGCGAGAAAGAGATTCTAGATTTAAAAAAAAGAAAAAAGCAATTCTTAAAGAGAAAAAATTCATCCTATTGCTATAAATCATTCTTTTGGATAGAAGAGATTTTAAAAGAATAAATAATTTTGAAAGAACTAAACCCTTAGGAACCATTCTTTAACAGAAATAGATAGATTAAACATAGAGTAATGTCACAAATAAATTTACCGTTACACTTATTACCCTGAAGAAAATCCTATATTTAATTGAAAAGTTTCATTGATTGAGGCCCTAAAGATTTTTATTTTAGTTAGAAGATGGTGATACGACATTTTGTCCAGCCCAAGGATAAACTAGGCTTTCAATGAGACCGCAGATCGTGGTTATGTTAGATGTTTTGGTCGATATTGCCAAAACTTTCTTTTTTATTTCTATTCATTCAGTGGCTTATTCGGAATACACTAGTAATGGGAAAATAAATATATAAAATTTCTATAAAATTATCATCAATTTTAAAAACTAAATTATGCATCCGTACCATTTTATCTTTATATATTTGCTACAAATTTTTTAAAAACCACAGGTTGCATATAAGAAAAAAATAGGATTTTTAAAAATTTATTTATGTAATTTCTTTAAATTACAACCAAACTACATATAAATTAATATATTAATTGATGTTGCAACGTGAAGTTTCTTATAAAGTAAATTTGCAAAAACCTTCGGTAAGTTTATGTTTATTTTATTAATATAAACAAAAATTTAATAGTTTAAGTTTCGGCTCTATATATTTTAATTAATATCTTGTATATTTACATCAGCGTGTTAAAATATACCAATAAAATCTTCCTAATCACTCCACTACTAAAACGACGTTTTATTTAATCTAATAAATATATATTTTTCGTGTTTTAACATATTTTTTTATATGTATTTTTTCATATCTCTGTATGTTTACAATGTTCTTTAAGCACTTATATCCTTTACATTTGTATAGAACAGACACAAACATGGCGTACGCTTATCATCGTTTGTCGTTCAATGCACTAACTTCATTCTGGATAAGCAGCTGAATAGGAAGCAACTGCCAACAAATATTTTATTTTTTTACAAGGAAAAATATAAAAAAAACAAGATTATTTTTTATATTAAAATACAAAATAAAACTAAAATTATAAAAATCTTTTGACCTATTTATAGTTATTTTATCATGTAAATTCTCTGCACACATAAAAAAATTTTTATTG